AACCACCACAGTATCCCCCAGGAGAAGAAAGGGTGAACTTTCTTTGTATTAGATAATTTTTGAAGCTCCTGTTTTTTATGCATCTATTGAGGAGCTCAAAATTGTATTATATCAATGACATGGACACATCATCTGAAAAGAGAGAAAAACAACCATAGAAATGGACTTATAGATGACCTCCATAAATCAACTTGTCAAAGAGGTACTTTAACTAATATGCTGAAAAAGATACATGGTGAGTTTCAACTAAAAATTGGAATTTATAAAATAACCATAATGGAAAATTGAGATCTCAAAAGTATGTTAAGACACCAGGACCAAATTATATTGATTTAACAGCAGATAAGTTTTCACAAAAGATAGGCCTGGTAGGGTGGAAGGCAACTCCATAAAAACTATTCCAAGTGAAACATAGAAAAATAACAAAGGATGGAAGAGAGTATTAGACACATGGGCCTTGGTGAAATGTATGATTAAATGTAAGAGAGTAGGGGAAAAATAATTTGTAGAAATATATACAGAATTTCATAAAACTGATAAAATATGAGTCCATACCAGAGAAGTTCTGTAAACTCTAAGTAGAATAAATATAATGCAAACACATGGTAGTATATCACAGATGAATGAAAACTAATGATAAAAAACAAAGGGAAGATGATTGTTTTCACTGGAAACAATTAAACTAGAAGACAGTGGAATGGCATGTAAAAACACGAAATTTTACAACTCAGTGTTTCTAATAAAAATATTGTTCACCTGAAGCCAAAATGTATTGTCAGACAAAGCCTGAGAGAATTCATCACCAATAGCTCCACACTAAAAGAAATAGCTAAAGCAAGTTTTTTGTGCAGAAGGAAGGAAATCCTAGATAAGAACTTGGAAATTCAGGAAAGAATTAAGATCCAGGGGAAGGGTGAATACATGGCTAAGTATAAACAGAACATTCACAAAAATAATAGTGAAATTTAAATCATGTAGAAAATAGCACAGAAATAATAATGCAAAAGATGGCATTGGTAAATTCTGCCATATCATTGCAGAGTAAAGTTAACACTTAGATTGTTATGATTAGTTTGCACAGTCTAGTCTGTGTAACCACCAAAACTTGAAGGATTTATTAACAGATTATTAGTGAGATTGGGATAATATATGAATCCAAAGAAGGCAGTAAGACTAAAACAGATAAAATAGAAAATATATAGTAAAAATGTTAGATAAAATAGAAAACATTTAGTAAAATATTAGTAGATACAACAGCTATTATATTCACTGTATATGAATTAAATATTTTAAAGACAAAGATGAACCAACTAGATTATAACAAAGACCCCAAAATAGTTTATGCAAAAGGATACTTAAATTCACGAGCCTGGTGTGGTGGCCCATGCTTGTTAATCCCACTACTTGGGAGACTGAAGATCACCATGATTTCAAAGCCAGCCTGAAATCATCCTGTCTTTTATCCTTATATCCTGTTTTAAAAAACAAACAAGTAAGTAGTTACACAAGGTGAAAAGAGAAGGATAATTGGGATTCTAGGAAGTTGACAGCAGTATGGACTTATTCTCCAGTGCCTGTATAAAAACACAAAGCAACTAAGATATCTAATCCCAAAACTCATGGGCAACATCTACAACAAACAGTGTGATATGACATCCCCCACAAATTCCAAAATAGCTGGAAGCAACAGAAAGCTTCCAGACCTGTGGTATCACTGGCTGTGTAAAAGGAAGAGAAAGTGGGGCTGGGGATTTAGTTCAGGGGTTTCGCCGCCTATTGCGCAAGTGCAAGGACCTGAATTTGATCCCTGGTACCAAAAAAAAACAAAAAAAAAAGAAGAGAAAGTAGCTGCAGAACATATAATGGGCGCAAGGACTCCAAGATAAGAAACCAGGAGTTAAGATAGCTCTCTTTTAAGATAATCCCCAGTGATTTCTGCTTTCTAGTACACTTGTGTAGTTCTGCCAATATTTTATAAGTAGAATATAGCAGAAGTGGAAGATACCACCTTGAGGTTTGGTTATAAAAAGATACCATCTGTTTCGGTTAATCTTGGGTCCCTTTCTTTGGAGGAAGTCATTTATGTTCCATGAGGCTATCCAGGTTGCCTGTTGATGCTCCCCAAGTTGGGCTTTCACATAAGCCAGAACTCTGGCCAGGAGCTTGACTGCAATCTCGTAAAAGATCTTAATCAGAACTATTAAGCTAAACTCTGACCCACAGAAACCAAGGTAAGTTTAATGTAGGCTACTAGGTTTTGATTCTTTTCTAATGCAGCAATAGATGATTAACACAGCAGAAAATAAGAGTATACATCTCAAATTGCATTAGTAGAAACCGTTTTCATTAAGTTCTGATGGAACTAGAGCCCTATAAATTGTAGTCAGCTAAAGGTCTGTTCCAAAGCCTCATATTGAGAAGAAACCGGTATGAGCAGAATCCGGATTGAGAGACAAACGTCCAGTTAAAAACAGAAAATAAGACCTCAGAAAATAGAATGGTGTCTTATAAAAAATCATTTCAAGGCATAATTTATAGTAATGAAGGCCAACTATGAATAAAAATTGTTTTTAAACAAGTTCAGTACCAAAAATGTAGAACTTTGCCTACTCCCTAATACAGAATAACAAAAATTTACATAACATTTGTAATGTATTAAGTTTTATAAATCTAAACGTACAAATATTGGGAGGATGTATATAGGTTATATGTAAATAAAGACTTAATATTTTTATATAAGGGATTTGAGCATTTTCATAAGAGGAAGAGGGTATCCTGTGACTAATCCACTGTAGATAGTGAGGTTAGACTATATGAACTTATTTTAAGTGTGAAATCTAGCAAACGTTGAGAAATATATACATCTATACCAGCATTGTATTTAAGAACATTTTCATCATCCCCAGAAGTTTTCACAGGCTCCACTTATAATCATTCTCACCACCTCACTGGCCCCAGGGAGCACTGATCTGCTTTCTATCAGGTTAGATTTTAGCTGACAAAATTTTGAACTCTTAAAAGGAGCTCTGTGGATATAAATTTCCAAAAAACGCTAAGTAAAATCACAGTCTGAAGAGTTCAGGAAGTTTGTTTTAAAAGTGAGCAAAAGGAAAAGATTGATATCAAATGCCCTACAAAGTTAGAAGAGAGAAAAAGTAGGGAACAAGAAAACATCGTTCCAGATAAGGAACCATCCAGAAAGAGATAAGCATTAGTCAAAAGGTGAGCCAAAGATTTTAAGTTTAGCCAATCTAGTCTCTGTTATAAAGGGTATATTTGATGAAGCATTATTAAGGTATAAAAAACTGAGATACTGTTTTCATGACTCTTTCCTGAGATGACTAGCTTTGGGCAACCAAGATGAGTAAAGAGAATTTGATATAAAGGTGGTGATAAACGTTTGTTTATAATATTTCTGCAGTTAGAACTAGGACTCGGGGCAGAGGTGTAGCTCAATTCTGAAGGCCCTGTGTTTGATCCCCAGCAGGCTAATTGAGGGACATAAAGAAGAAAGTATAGTATATAATGACTAATAATTTAGACCAGTGGGTGTAATATATATCTCCATCCATTGGTCTTAAATTTGTACAAAAAAATGTTAGTATGTACTTGCCAATTGTACAGGAAATACAGATGACCAAAAAAAGCTGTTTTAATTACACTTTGCAAATGCAACTACCTTAAGACTAAAGAAACCTGCACTAATGGTTGGAATTCCTCAGCACATTGCAAGGAAGAAAGAAATGGTGTAGGAATGTATAGATAGAGCCTTTGAAAACAGGCAAAACTATTCCCTATGCTTATGGAGGTAGACTGGTGATTACAGAAGAAAAGTAAGCTAAACTTGACTTTTGGGAGTTTACAAAGAAGTTGTCTTTGTGAGGGGCATGTCAGGGGCTTCTGAGGTAGTTGATCTGTTTTCCGTCATGGCTTCTGATCTCAAAGGATGTGCACCTTATAGTTGGTTAAACTATCCGTTTATGTAGTACTCTTTATTTCTGTGTATTTGACATTAAAAGTTTTAAAAGAAATGGTAGGGGAAAAGTCCACTAGACAATAAAAATGATACGTGGTATGTTACTAGAGATGAAGAGACATTTCATAAAATAGTGTAATCTGCACATCTAATAATGTACCTTCAAAATGTAAAACAAAAGCTCACACCTTAAGGACAAATATACAAGTCCAGTCATGGTAGAAAAGTTAAATATTTGCAAATAGATGTAAGTTGAGAGTATCAGATATGGCTTTGTATTTGAATGTCCCCCTCCCTCTCCCTTTCCCCATCCCTCTCACCTCACACACCGTGTGCCCTTTGCACTGGGAATTGAATCCAGGGCCTTTCCACTGAGCTATACCCTAGTTCTTTTCTAAATTTTGATATGTCCTTGCTAAGTTGCCCAAGCTGAACTCAAATTCGCACTCTCTTGCTGATTCAGCCTCCCAGAGTGCTAGGGTTACTGGTGTGCTTTGCCATGTCCAGCAAGAGTTTGGTTTTAAGAAATGGTCATCTTTTTTTGGCCTAGAAGTTCTCTATATTTATTGGAAATATGTTTAACTCTTTCATTTTAATAGACAGGGTACCATTTTATGTAGTCTTGAGGCTAAATATCTTAGGTTATCTGGCTGTTTGTTGCCAGATAATTTAAGAAATGAAGCCTGTGCATTTTCTTTTCTGATGATACCATAAAACTATACCTAACTTTGAATGTTAACTAATTTTTTTAACTCTACCTACTATTAGAAATGATATCTAGGTATGGTGGCAAATGCCTGTAATCCTAGTGCTTGAGAGGCTGAAGCTGAAGGATTGTTAGTTAAAGGTCAGCCTGATTACATAGTGAGACCCTATGTTACAAAAATTAAGATTGGCATAGATGTAATCTCAGTTTGTAAGTGGGTAAAATTCAATGAGTTTCCAAACTGACTTCTAATTAGTGTTTGACATTATGTAGATTTTACTATAGAAGTTAATTAACTTTTCTTTCTTTTTGAAACAGAGGTTCAGAAGGAACATTAAATGACTGCAGGGTAATATTTGCAGAAGAAATCTTCAAGATTGAGAAGCCTGGAGCCCATCCTCTTTCATTCGCAGATGGAAAGTTTTTAAGTATGGAGTTTTAAAAAACTTTGACTTCTTTTGATGTACATGATGGAACTTTGTTATTTACTGACCAGTGAATAGCTTGGAAGGATTCTTAAAACTATAGACCACACAAATTTATTTTCAGTGTAGCAACAGGAAGAAAAAATATCTTTCAATAAAAGAACCTACATTTTTCTGACAGTTGTCAGTCTTTCAAATGGTTATCCATTTGCATTCTCACCGTCAGTATGCCATTATCTCTATATCCTTATCAATGCTAAATATTAACTTTTGCTACTCTAATAGGAGTAAAGACCCAAAGTGTTAATTTATACTCTTTAAGTGGAAAGAGTGTAAGGGCATTTTTCTAAGGTCTTGTGCAGTTTCTCAATCTTCCCTATTTCATTGAACCATTAATGTCTCAGTAATGTTTTCATGGCATCGCAAAAGCCAAAGAAATCGAAACGAATTCCATTTACTAAGTACCATTGTTCAACAAATTATATTTCCCTTGAAATTTTAAGATACCCACGTGCAGTGTTGTGAACTTAGGGCACCATAGGATATCACGATGCACATTTGGGAAACTCAGGAGAGAGAGAGAGGTATGTCTATTATAATACTGCGTTTGAGGGAAAAGTATATATTTGCATTTACTGCCATTAGATTTTTCACTGGTGTAAACCTGAGCTCCATCCCTGAAATTCTAATTTAATAAACCTGGGGTAAGGCTTAGTCATTTATTCTTTAATTTTCTCACTTGGTTATTGCTTTTGGTTCCTTCTTATTTAAACAAAAAAAGCTATATGCTATTTTCATGGATTTTTTTTTTCCCTTATGAGACTAATAAGTGTGAAAATTATTTTAAGATAAGGGTTGCTATAATTTTGTTCTTAACAGGGAAAAATGACCCTGAATGTGACCTGTGTGGTGGAGACCCCGATAAGAAATGTCATATGTGTTCTTGTCATAAATGTGGTGAGAAACGTGAACCGAACATGCAGCTTCTTTGCGATGAATGTAATATGGCCTATCATATCTACTGCCTGAATCCACCCTTGGATAAAATCCCAGAAGAAGAATACTGGTATGATCATCAGGGTTTTGTTTGTTTTTCTCATTTTATGAAGACTCAAATGTGAAATGTGTATTTGAATCACCAAAAACAAAGTTCTAAAAATACATAGTATGTATTAAAGTGCTTAAAATGCTACAGGTAGTGGTTACTTGGCATTGATAACTCAATTTAATTACAACAACTTCCGAAGTGTTCTCTAGTTCAGTCCTTAAAATCCATTTTCTAATAGTCTTTCAAATGCAAATATGGCTGTCAGTCCTTTAGTTCAGAGGCTTTCTGTTGCTTTACAGAATCCTGCATATTATTTAGGCATTTCTCCAGCTATATCTCATCATTTTCCTCTTCCATTTCCACAAATACTCTAGCCAGATTAAATGTCTTTCAACTCCTTAAGCAAGTCATGTTCTTTTTCTTCTGACTTTTTACACTTGAAATATTTTCTCCTTGTAAGCATTTTCCTCTTATGTTTAGCTTCAAGATGATTTTCATCCTTCAACATTTCATTTAAAAGTGACTTCCTTCATAAGCCTTTCTGGACTACCCCCACCCCCCTATCTTAGATGTTCCATTGTATTCTATAATAGTACTCATTATTATTAAGCATATATTATATGATAGCCTCAAAGTGCTTATGTGTATTACTGTTTCTAATCCTATGATGTTGATGAATAGACCGAAGCTCCAAGGCCAAATATATTTGTCAAAAATCTAAATTTCTCTGCATAGTGTTAGCCACTGAAAAACAACAATGACAAAAAACTGCTAGAAACAAGACTGGCAGAAATGTGCCCAAAGTTTAATGAACATTAAGATCATGTTAAGGAATACTATTTTTCCCTTTTTAAACCATGGGACAAATTGCTGTCATCGAGGGTTTTAAAGATGTATGACATACTCAGAGATAATGATGTAAGAAGTGGGTAGCTGATATGAGTGTGAAGAATAGATTCTCCTTACTTCCTTTGCCCTTTCCTCCGCCTGTTAGAAAGGTGGTTGCTCTATTACAGCGGATGCTGTAGGGGTGAGAGAAAAGGGGAAGGGATTTAACTTCTTTTGGCACCTTTACTACTCACCTGCATGGTAACACTCTGAATTTTTCCATGATAATAGTCATACTTCCTCTAAAATTACAGCTGTAAACCCTTCTCATGGCCTTAAAGTTACATATCCTTTTGTCTTTCCAAGAAATTTGGTCCTGCAGTTAATTCCTTTTCCAAACTGCCCTTACTAGACCATTTTTAACTATCATCCTAGAATCTCTAGAGTTTTCAAAACACAAACTTCCCTTGTTTGCATTTCTCCCCACCAGCTGCTTCCTGGCTCCCTGCTTCCTGCATGGCCAACCTTCTCAAAAGCTACCTCCACCGATTGTTCTCATTTCCTTTCCTCCCATTTATACCTCAGCCACTCCAGTATGGCTTTCTTTTTACCACAACTCCATCATATGCTTATGTAGAGCTTATAGATAACTTTGTGTGTTTTCAAACCCACTGATCACTTCTCAATCCTTTCCTTACTAAACTGCTCACCTGGGCCGGGGATTTAGCTCAGTGGTTCTGGTGCCTGCTGCACAAGCACAAGGTCCCGAGTTCGATCCCTGGTACCAAAAAAGAAAACAACAAATAAACTGCTCACCTGCTTTCTGTTTCTTCAGATTTTATGGTATTATATGATCCTAATTTTTACCTTCTTCTCTGGCCTTATTAGTGTTTTCCCCTCACTAACCAAATTTCAGTATCCCTAAAGCACTCCTTGTTTCCTTTTCATGCTTGATTTCTAGATGCGTTCACCTAGTCATGACACTTTAAATACTAATGTATTATTTTGAATTTTTGCTTTGAAATCTAATCTCCCCTTAGCTTTGTATTTTTATGTGCATTTGCCTACTTGACCAGCATCCCAAAATCAGCCCATATGGAGCTCTTGATTTTCACAGTCACTTCTAAAATCCTGTTCTTCTCCCAGCCTCTGGTAAATAAGATCATAACTACTTGTTCATGCAAAAAAACTAGACTCATCTTTGTTTCTTCCTTAGTCCGTTCACCTACTCCATCTCTAGTACATTATCAAGTCTTGTTAATTTTCCATAAACTCTCTCCATTTTTACACCCGAATCCAAACTACTATCTCTTGCCTAAGCTTCTGTAATACATACTCTTGTCTTTGTTTCCACAGTACTCATTGCCTGTCCTTTGTCCTATAATGCAAGGATGATGTTAGTAAGTCCTGAATCAAGGTCACTCACCTGTTTAAAGTCCCCACTATCTTCATGATATGCTTAGAATAAAATCAAATTGTTAGTATTTATGGGCCTGGTTCTTGTGTTCTTTTAACTCTATTGCTTATCAACAGCCAGTTTACTTACCTTCAATTTGCTTACCTACTAACCTTTAATTATATTCACCTTTATGTTCCTCTACACTTAACATTTCTTTTTAGGCCTTAGGACCTTTGTACTTAACTGTTCCTTTGACTGGAATGCTTTTCTTGACTTATCTGTGCTTAAGAAACATACCATTTCCAGTTGCTCTTTTCACATATTGCTGATTTATTTCATTTACAGTATAGTGCTTAACATTATATAACGTTCTTTCCTTGTACATGATGCTTTACCTTACCTACAGTGGGTAAACATTTTCATCACAAGAATTTGTCCCCAGCACCAATTAATGCCTGTCATATTGGAGGTTCCAAATAAACCCTTTAAAGGAACTATCCCATAGGCAGATAGTCTTATATTACTGTATGGAATATCTCTAAATTCTTATCAGGGTGTACTTCATTTCACCTGGAACTACTTGACCTTAAATCATCTTTTCTGTTTCTTCAAATTATGTTGTCTGGATAATCTTTGAGATCATTTTCTCATCAGACAGTTAATACTTGCTTTAATCATAAGGAGGAGTGGCTGAAAATTAAGTTCAGATCCACACTCATGCTAGGCAAGTGCCCTACCTCTGAAGTATACCACCTATCCTCTTCTCTTAATTTAGAGATGGTGGTCTCACTAAATTGCCGAAATTGGCCTCAAATTTATAATCCTCCTTCCTTAGCCTCCCAAGTAGCTGGGATTATTGACCTGCACAGCCCCACCCAGTACAAAGGATTTTTAACTTCCTGTATTTGTTGCCTTTTCAGACATAATTTTGGCAACTTCAGGGATTGAACTATCTACATTTTTCTCTTCTGTGATGCCAACTAGGTTACCTCATGAAGTTTGCATTCTTCACTGACCAAAAATAACCTCATGTCAGCTAGGTTCACCTGTATTCCCAACAACTCAGAACTCTGAAGCAGGAGGATTGCAAGTTGGAATCCAGCCTGGGAAATTTAGCCAGATTTTGTCTGAAAATAAAAGAAAAAGAGGATGGCAGTATAAGTCAGTGAGTGGTAGAGCACTTGCTTAGCATACCTTATGTCCTAGGTTCAATCCTCAGCTGTAAGAAAAGAAAAAGGAAAAAAAAAAATAGTCACATACACACACCTATTATACCTTACCTCTGTGTTATAGGATTTGTCATATTTGTAAGCACTCCATCTTAATGTTGTCTATAGATACATACCTATGCTTTTACAAAAGATTTAATATAGTTTATGATAAATAACAAATGGAATTAAAATACAGATAGGATTAGGACTAACATAAGCAAAAGTCCCTGACGTCTTATATAGTTCTTATAACAGACTGTATATTTTCGATTCTGAGAATTCTAAAAGGCAAGTTATGGAGGAGATATATCCATTGCCTAGTTCAGTGTTTGGTCTAGAAGCATCATGTATTTCTATTTTTGTTTCAATTGTAAGAATTTCAAATGAATAATTTCTACTGTCAGTGATAAGATTACAATGTGAATCTTAGTTTTATCTGACTTTTGATCTCAGTTTGAGAATTTGTAATATTAAAATCTTTAAAATGTCTAAAAGAATTATAAAACTGTTTTTGCACCCAGCCTAATCATAAAAATATTTTTAAAAGTTTAATGTCAGGTGAAGCTCTGAAATATATCCCAAGCAATACATCTTATAACTTGTATTTAAACTATAAAGATTATTATTCTGTTATTGACCTGAATATAGTATTGTCAGAATTCTTCTTCTTTCTTTTAAAGGTATTGTCCTTGCTGTAAAACTGATTCCAGTGAAGTTGTAAAGGCTGGTGAAAGACTCAAGATGAGTAAAAAGAAAGCAAAGATGCCTTCAGCTAGTACTGAAAGCCGGAGAGACTGGGGCAGGGTAAAGAAGAAATTCACTTTTTTTAACCCCAGTAGCATATTACATTATATAATTTATTTAAATGTATAACTTTATTATCAAACACACACACATACAAAAATTAAAATTATTCAAAGAAAAACAATGCAAGGGAAAAAAACTAATAATACTCAAATATAGTAGAACTCAACCAAAGCAAAACTGGAAAGTACTTAAACATTTTTCCATATAATTTAAAAAAATATCTCAAGCATTAACAAGACATCAGAGGATGTGATTTGTTTTAGAAAGATTTTCAAAACTAATATTGAACAAATAGTGGTCTGGAAAAAAAATCTAATCAGCTAGTAGACTCCACATAGGCCACATTTTTTAAATTTAAATTTCAATGCAGTCATATAACATGTGATGGAAATATAATCTGTTAAATGTTATTAGGCAGTTTCATCCATGTGTATCGCAAAGTACCACAAAGAGTGCCAACTTCTAAGTGCAAACTGAAAAGGTATGCGTCAGTCATCTGTGATGGCCCCTTGATATCCAAATAACGTAGTTAAACATGAGATACATGAGGCTACCACTGGCATAGCACACTGTTTTACAGTAAACTTTTATATAAGTAGAATTATGCTCTAAAGGATGAAAAGCACAACATGTTATGATAAGTACCTAAAACAGTAACAGACAGTCATTCATCACACTATTGAGTACTGTGTACTGTACATAGTTGTATGTGCTTCTTCTGGAAACACACCCTCCTCTCCTTTGATCTCAGTGACTCTTCCTTCCCAACCCACTGATGAGCTCCAGCCTAGCCTCTTATCTACATCTCTTCCTATAGTTTTAAACCCAATCGATATATGCATTCTTTCCAGATTCCAGCCTGTAACCTGATCTCTCCCCTTCCCCGCCTGCCATCTCTACCCCTTTGAGCCTTTTCTTTGTATTTCAAATTATCCGTTATTCATTTTAATCATTTTAATTCTTAATTACACTTTCAGTTTCTCACACTAGAGAAACTATTTGGTATTTACACGTGTGTGTCCTATTTATTTCA